TTCACTTCCCCATGGTGTGGTCCTGAGTATGATAGCTGCCATCTTTTGTAGCTGGAACATTTCATTCCATGATAGTGAAGTTCATTCACATAAATAAATTTTCACTCATTTTTCTCCCACTTTCCTTCTCTCCCACAGTTTCACACTCTGAATCCCTATGTGTCAAAGGGAATTTTTAAAGTTTGTCAGGAGGAAAGTATGGCTTACTACTATATGCCTATATTGAAAACTGAAACTAAGATCTTTTTTAATTACTTGTCAATTATCATTAAATATTCCAGGCACAAGGAAACAAGGCCTTTATGTGAGTTAGTTATTAAATACATATATTAACCAATGTATATTAATTTCATGTTATATATATGACTAAGTATTACCATTTTATCTTTGGAATGTTTTTGCTATCTAGAGACATAGATATATATTTTTGTATCTGTAAATACCTGTACATATACAATGATAACATAAGTCATGCATTTGTTAGACATTAAAACAATAAAAATTGTGAAAGAAAAGTTTAATGTTGTACACATGTTGGAAATAAGAGAAAGATGAGCAAAATTGGAGATAGGTGAGTGATTATACTTCAACTTTTCCAGCATTTGGTAAATATCAATACAAGGAAATGAGCTGACAGTGGTTAAGAACAACTAAGGGAGACCAGGAAGTGAGCAGAGGAGTTTGGAAAAGCTAAGAGAGATGATCAGCTTGTCATACTGTGGTGGCTTGTGTGTTGCTGTGAGGTTGGAGGCTATGCCACCAGTGTTTCAAGTGCCAGCAGGTTTACCCAGCATTTCAGTGGAGCTTCCAGACTAAGACTAAGACATACGTGGAAGAAGGAGGAGACCATCCACTTCTCAAAGAATTTGTCAGTGAAAACCTTATGAATAGAAGTGAAAAACTGTCTGATATATTAGTGGAAAAGTTTAGGAATAGCACTGAAACATTGCATGATATAGTGTCAGAAGATGAGCCCCTCAGGTCAGACAAAGCTCAAGATGACTGGAGAAGAGCTGCCTCCTCAGAATAGAGCCAACCTTAATCATGTGGATAGCGTAAAGTTTTTGGGACCTACACTTGGTGATGTGGCATGATTCAAGATAAGAAGAAACAGCTGTAAACATCCACTAATAATCAGAACATGTAATGTATGAAGTATGAATCGAGGAATATTGGAAGTTGTCAAAAATGAAATGGAACACAGATCAATGTCCTAGGTATTAGTGAACTAAAATGCACTGGTTTTGTCCATTTTGAATCAGACAACCATATGATCTACTATGCAGGGAATGAGAAATTGAATAGGAATGATATGGCATCCATTGTCACAAAGAATGCTTCTAGATATATCCTGAAGTACAACAGTGTCAGTGATAAGATAGTATCCATACACCTACAAGGAAGATCAGATAATATTACTATTTTCACATTTACACCTCAAACATCAAAGCCAAAGATAAGGAAATTGAAGATTTTTACCAACTTCTGCCATCTGAAGTTGACTGAACATACAACTATGATGTGTTGATTATCACCAGTCATTGGAATGCAAAAGTTGGAAACAAATAATCACCAGTAGTTGGAAAATGTGGGCCTTGGTGATAGAAATGACACTGGAGGTCACAAGATAGAATTTGGCTAGACCAACCGCTTATTCATTGCAAATACTTTTTTCAACAACACAAACAGTGAGTATACATGTGGACTTTGCCAGATGGAGTACACAGTAATCAGATTGATTACATCTGTGGTGAGAGGTGATGAAAAAGCTCAATATCTTCAGCCAAAACATGGCAGGAGTTGATGTGGAACAGACCCATCAACAGCTCACATGCAAGTGCAAGTTGAAGTTGATGACAATTTTTAAAAGTTCATGTCAGACACAATATGACCTTGAATATATCATTCTCAAATTTAGAGATAATTTAAAGAATAGATTTGATGCATTGAACAGCAATGACAGAAAACCAGAGGAATTGTGGGATGACATCAAGAACATCATTCATGCAGAAAGCAAAAGGTCATTGAAGGAAAGGAAGAAAAGACCAAAATGGATGTCAGAAGAGACTCTGATACTTGCCCTTGAATGGAAAGTAGCTAAAGCAAATGGAAGAAATGACAAGATCAAAGAACTGAACAGAAGATTTCAAAGAGCAGCTTGAGAAGACAAAGTCAATTATTATAATGAAATGTGTAAACACCCGATGTTAAACAACCAAAAGGGAAGAACACACTCAGAATTTTTTCTCAATCTGAAAGAACTGAAGAAAAAAATTTAAGCCTCAAGTTGCAATGTTGAAAGAGTCTATGTTCAAAATATCAAATGATAGAGAAAATATCAAAAGAAGATAGAAGGAATGCACAGAGTCACTGTACCAAACAGGATTGGTAAATATTCATCTATTTCAAGAGGTGGTGTAGGATCAAGAACCCATGATATTGAAGGAAGAAGTAAAAGCTGAACTGAAGTAAATGATGAAAAACAAGGCTCCAGAACTTGGTGGAATTCCCATTGAGATGTTTCAACAAACAGATCCTGTGCTGGAGGCACTCACTCAGCTATGCCAAGAAATTTGTATGACTAATACTTTGCCAACTGATTGGAAGACATCCATATTTGTACCCATTCCAAAGAAAGGTGAACCCGGAGAATGTGGAAATTATCAAACAGTATTACTAATATCACATGCAAGTAAAATCTTACTGAAAGTAACTTAAAAACAGTTGCAGCAGTATATTGACAGAGAAATTCCAGAAATGCAAGCTGGATTCAGAAGAGGACAGGGAATGAGGGATATCATTGCTGAAGTCACATTGATCTTGGCTGAAAGCAAAGAATACCAGAAAGATGTTTAGTTGTATTTTATTGACTGTGCAAAGGCATTCGATTGTGTGGGTCATAACAAATTATGGGTAACATTGAGAAGAATGGAAATTCCAAAACATTTAATTGTTCTCATGAGGAAACTCTATATAGACCATGAGGCTGTTCTTGAAACAGAACAAGGATACACTGCATGGTTTAAAATCAGGAAGGGAGTGTGTCAGGGTTGTACCCTTTCATCATTCATATTCATTCTGTATGCTGAACAAATAATCCAAGAAGCTGGACTATATGCAGAAGAATGTGACATCAGGATTGGAGGAAGGCTCATTAACAATCTGAGATACACAGATGATACTACTTTGCTTGCTGAAAGTGAGGATGACTTGGAACATTGACTGATTAAGATTGAAGACTACAGTCTGTAATATGGGTTGCACCTCAATATAAACAAAACAAAAATCCTTACAAGTGGACCAGTAAGCATCACCACAATAAATGGAGACAAGATTGGAATTGTATTGACTTCAAATTAATTGGTTCTACAATCAACATCAGTGGAAGCAGCAGTCAAGAGATTAGACAATGTATTGTGTTGGGTAAATCTGCTGCAAAAGACCTCTTTATAGTGCTGCAGAACAAAGATATATCTTTGAAGACTAAGGTACACCTAACCCAAGCCATGGTATTCTCAATCTCCTCATGTACATGTGACAGCTGGTCAATCAGTAAGGAAGACCAAAGACAAGTTGATGCTTTTGAGTTGTGTTGTTGGCAAGAAATACTAAAAGTACCATGGACTGCTTAAAGAGCTAACAAATTTGTACTAGTCAAAGTGCAGCTGGAATGCTCCTCAGAAGTGAGAATGGCCAGAATTCGTCTCACTTATTTGGTCATGTTGTCACAAGAGACCATTCTTTGGAGAAGGATATCATTGTTGGTAAAGTGGAAGCTCAGTGAAAAAGGGGAAGGCCTTCAACATGATGGATTGTCATAGTGGCTATATGCTCAGGTATAGCAAGGATCATGAGGCTGGCAAAGGACCAAGCAATGTTTTGTTCTGTTGTACGTAGGGTCACTATGGGTCAGAACTGACTCAACGTCACCTAACAACAGCAAGAACAACATTTTTTTTTTATTTTAAAAATATATTGTGACATAACAAAATGATAATAATAATATCAACATAAATCTATAACTGATTTATTTTAGATGATAATTGAAAAAATCCTCATACTAGTTAGTAAGTACAAAATTACCAGCATTAGTAATACATTTACCAAAGGAATAAATTACAAATACATAGTTTTAATTAACTTATTTAAATATCAGGTCCATTATTTTCTTTTTATCAAAATAGTGAAATTAGTATCATTTTCTTATTTATTCCTCTTTTTAGGGTTTACCATACATAAAAATTAAAATTCTTTGAAGTGCCTCTCTTTTAACACATTTTATTTTTAATCAAGAACATTTCTGCCAGAGAACTCAAAATATCTATTGAACATTTTTTTTTAGAGCAATGTTAATTTCCCTGTTCCGCAGACTAAAGATGATGGGGTTTATGAACGGGGGCACCATGGTGTAGAATATGGAGATGAAAAGATTTTTAAGAGATGCCTTATTTGAGAGTGGAACAAAGGCAGTAACCAGCAAAGATATTACAAATAGAATGAATATAGCTAGCTGTGGGGTACAGGTGAAAAAAGCTTTATTGCGGGCTTCCACAGAGCGCATTCTAAGCACAGTTGAAAATATGTTAATGTATGAAGTAAACAAAAAGACAAAAAAAACTAAAGGTATATTAGAACTTATAGCAAGGAGAACAGACTCAGAAAACCTCACATCCGAGGATGAAATTCTCAAAATTTGAGGAATGTCACAGAAATACTGGTGGATTACATTGGATTCTGTGAAAGGAAGCCTGAACATAGTGGCCGTGTGGATGGCAGCATAGACCAGCCCACTGGCCCAGGATCCAGCTGCTGCCTGTGCACACATCCGTGGGTTGACAATGAGCCCATAGTGCAGGGGTTGACAGATGGCAACATAACGGTCATAGGCCATCACCACAAGGAAGGCTAACTCTGTGGATCCAAAGAGGATAAACAGGAAAATCTGAGCAGCACATTCTGGGAGAGAAATCTGTTGCCTGCCTGTTAAAGAATTCACAATCGATTTAGGAACAGTAACTGAGATGAAGCAAAAATCTATGAGGGATAATTTGCCTATAAAGAAATACATTGGGAAGTGAAGATGTGGGTCTGTCACAATGACGGTAATGGTCAGAAGATTTCCAACCAGGGCCCCCAGATAAATCAGTAAGAACAGCAGACCTTGTAAAACTTGGAACTTCCGGGAGCTTGAAATATCCAAGAGGAGGAATTCTGTGATTATGGTGAAGTTGTCCATGATTGCTAATACACTGCCTTCTTGCTGGAGTCAAAAAACAAAGATAATGTTAGGATGAAGTGGAGGAAGAATCAATACTACCCACATACAAAATGTGAATCAATCGCCTTTCAGAAGTGGGGTTATTTGAACAAAGTGTAACTAGTTACTTACCATATTTCAACTGAATTGAGAACATTGGATTCAATGAATGTTTAGTTCACTTTGGGGAATCCGCTGATCACTTCTTTTTTTCTTTATAACTTTTGACATATTTATGCTAAGACTACTTGAAGTACTTAATATAATATTCTTGCCTTGATCTTCTTCTATGTTCTTTCTGGAAAATGTCTTTCAGTTTGTGCCCAAACACTTATATTAAAGGTAACTACAGATCCAGATAAGATTCTTAGATATTATTTGTATCAAATTCCCTTCTGCCAACAGCTTCGAATGATATTAACCACTCAAATTTTCTTGATTTCAAAAAGAGTTTGAATAATTAAGAATATCTTTCCGTACAATTTGAGAGTGTTTTTATTGCCAGAGCAGACAGATGAAACATCAAAAGTTTTCAGCTCAGTTGAAGCGGAGGTGTAGCTCCCTTTACCTCCCCTTGCAAAATTGATAGACTATATTAAGCAATGTAGAATACAATGGATTCTTCCTTACCTAATTAGAATGTAATAGCTAGATACCATGCTGAATATGTATATGTGTTGTTAGCTGCCATTAAGTTGGTTTCAAGTGATGGCAACCTCATGCACAAGAGAGTGAGAC